GGGGGGGGCGTTGGGGGGTTGACCTGGCCTTGGGGCAGCAGAGATAGCTAATCCAGCCCTGTTTGTGCCATAAACAATTGCTCATTGTGTGACCTACCTAATGAATTCTAGAGTGCACCATGACCGGAGCATGGGCTACTGCAAGGTCCCTCTGGTCCCACACCTGTTTTTTTTAAGGTGTCTATAGAGGAGCCTCTGTCAATCACACAGGTGGGCGGCATGAGGGGAAATGGAAGATAGTGGAGGCGCTCAATGTTGGGTGAACTTGCTGGCACTGTTGATGTGCAAGCTTGTACCTATAACCAATAGTGTGCAAAACAGGGTGACAATGCAGGAAAACCGTGTATGCTAGCGTAGTCACCATTAAGTGGCTTTCAGGACCAAAAGGAAAAGAGATTTCTGCGAAAAAAGCAAGGATAAAAATAAAACACCCACATGAACGGAACAACATTGAGTGGTATTCTATATTGTATGCTTTGAGGGTTCACATACACTTTGGGGTCTATTTAAAAACTATCCTTTGCGCTAAAAATTTCTGTGAATGTTCATTCTGCAAAAATGAATGTTCTTTAGTTATTTCTTTACAAGGCAATGTCTTTTCGATGTTTTCCCCATGTAGTACATCATTGTGGCCACTAGATGGCGGTGATGAGCATAGAAAATAAAAACCTATTTCCTGTGGTCATTTGTCTCCATCTAGTGGCCATAATGGGGTATTACATGAAAACATTAAACAATTAATTGCACTAACGAATGCTCATTCTGGCATAGAGTCGCACTGACCAAACGTTTACAGATATTCACAGGCCGAACAGCCCTACAAATTGTTTATGAATCAACCCTTAAGTCTTCCATTGGGTAAAAAAAAAGACACCAAAAGAAATTAAATTGGCCTTTCAGCTTATAAACCTCAACCTAACCACTGAACCGTTACATTCTCAAACAATCCGCACACAGCTACCTCCTCATGTATCACTTCCCCCTCCCCTTTTAGATTGTGAGCCCCCAGGGGCAGGGCCCTCCTTACCATCTTGTCTTGTATTGTATTGTGATTGTAATGTCTTCCGTATATTGTAAAGCGCTGCGCAAACTGTTGGCGCTATATAAATACTATGTAATAATAATAATATTAATATAAACACGAGCGGTATAAGTGTATTAGATATAAGTAATACATAAACTGCATTACCCTAGGAAGTAATTCTGTTTATTGATTAGCTATGTCATATATTTCACACAGGTGCACGAAGAAGATAAGCGCCACATAACTTTGACGAGCTCAAGAAATAAAATGGACGACACGAATATCACCAGCGGAAATGAGACGGACGTAAATGACACCCTACTGCAAGACCGCAGGCTGTGCACCGAAGATCACAAGCTGCAGCTCCACGCGGTAGACGCCGTTTTCCTCGGCATCTGCGTCTTCGGCCTGGTGGGAAACATTGTTGTGTTTTGGAACCTTTGCTTCAGGATCCCGAGGAACAAGTATACCGTTTACATCGCCAACCTGTCCGCAGCCGACACCCTCTTGATAGCAGTTGTGGCGTTGACGCTGGTGGCCCAGATCAGCAATATGTTTGGCTTGTCTCCCGCACAGGAAGTGGCGTGTCCTTTCTATCAATTCGTGGATACATTTTATTACTCCCTGGTCTATTCCGGAAAAAACATCCTGACGGCCATCAGCGTGGAGAGGTGCATTTCCGCCCTGTTTCCTCTTTGGTATCACACTCATCGCCCCAAGAAGTTTTCTGCTGCGGCGTGCGCAGTCCTCTGGTGCCTTGGCATCACGGAGGGCCTCCTTGACGTCTTTGTGTGCGCTCCGGAAGCCTACATTTATCAGCAGCCGCAATGTGTGGCGGTCGAAGTGTCGATTTTTGTGTCCGCCATTGGGATCTGTCTACCGCTCATGGTTATTTCCAGCGTCACCTTGCTCCTCAAAGTGAGAAGGGCCAACCACCAGGAGTACCCTCCGCGACTCTACATCATTATCATCATAACGGTCATTGTCTTCATCCTATCCGTCCTGCCGTTAAACATTTTTCGTTTTTTAACGTTCTTTAAGGCCGTGAAGACGGAACCTCCGATCAAACTCATTTTTCTTAGTCAGTACTGGTTGGTATTTAACAGCACCGTCAACCCTTACATCTACTTTCTAGTCGGGAGGAACTGGAATCAGACCATATGTTGTTCCATTAGAGACTCCCTTCATCGAGCCTTCGTGGTGGACTCAGAAGAGGGTGATTGCTGATCGCAAAGGCCGCAAGGCCAGTGACACATGGAGGCAAAGTCACCTTACCAAAGCCTTGGGGATCGCCGGTTCTCCAGCTGCATCCATTAAGCTGAGGTCAGGGGTACCGGCACGGGTGTCCCCCACACCGTATACAGCACCCGCACAGCTTGACCAAACACGTATGACCACACCGGTACAAGGCAGTATGTGTTTATATACAGTTTATTTGTGTTACCAACAGGACTGCAACAAGCAGGAATCAGGCCTACAAACAGGTAACAGGACTGCAACAAGCAGGAATCAGGCCTTCAAACAGGTAACAGGACTGCAAACAGGGAACGGGGTTCAGGACTGCAAACAGGTAATGATAGCGGGATACTGAGCCACCATCCTGACTGCATGGAGGGTTTAAATATCCTCCCAGGAAGCACCAGGTGATGGCTAAGTGCTGGCAGCTGGGAGACCCCCGCAGGTGAGCACGGGAGCTGCAGGTTCCAGCACCACCCAGTGGTGGTCTGGTACCCAACAGTTCCTGGATGCCTGGAGACACCTGCAGGTGGGCACAGGAACTGCAGGGCTTAGCCCCAGCACCACCTGGAGGCACTCTGGATTCAAATATATGATTTAAAGGAGAACTATGGGGTTAAGGCTTTTCCCCATAGTTCTCCTTAGGGTAACGGGAGGACACAAACTAGCATCCTCCCGTCACCCTAGGCTCAGCATATCGCGAGCTACAGCTCCCTATATACTGAGACGCCGCAGCTGAAGCGGATCCCGACAATTGTGCCGGGATCCGCCCAGCTGCGTGACTGACAGCCGGCTCTGCCTATCCAGAGGCAGAGCCAGCTGTACCCGCCTCCTCCCACGTCCGTTCC